TCTCTCTCTCTCTCTCTCTCTCTCTCCCTCCCCATCTGTGTCACATGTTCATGTATAATATACAAAAAAAAAAATAATTGCATTACTAAATATGGTCATAAATTAACTAGGTTTTCTACACTTCCTTAATGTATTTAAAATCCTTTTCAGAGTATTGTGTGATGGTTTATTTCGTGCTTCGGTTCACGCATGGTGCATTTGCAATGCAGTAATCACTTTTCTAAGAAAGAAAAACTCCAGATATAACAGTTAAGAAACTGGCAATTTGATGTATCATTAAATCTGCAATGGAGTTAAATTTCAGTACTAGCTCCAAATATTTAGTATTACATAGAATATTTGAAAAGTTTGATGTAGGTTATACAGTATGTCAAACATCACTTTTAGAATAAATTACAAAAATGTTCATAACATATTCCTCTGTCTAATTAATTTATTTTACCATGAACTTCAATACAGAAAAGAAAAAAAAAATCAGAGTATAGTGGTTCCCTACCTGTGTCACACCACACTTATATCATGATTACCCTCTAACTGTCACAACATTTTGCAGATATGTATTTGTTGCCAATTAAATTACTACCTTTTTAGTCTAAAACACTCAAAAATACTCAAAGGAATCTAATAACTGTATTCATATATATATCTCAAACATATTCTCTATTAATGAAGTACAGAGTTGGTGTGTTGTAGGTCTAGGATATCTTTAGTGTGCCCTGTGAATGCAAAATTTAAAAGCCACTGCACTGCATCTTTCATTATTTTTTTCATTCTTGCGGCATATATTTTTTTATCATTCCTTTCTTCTTGGCTGGTATTCTTTAATAATTGAGTGAACCTTTTAGAATTAAAATACAGAAAGAAAAAAGACGGTTGTATCTTTATATTTTTTATTGGTGTACAACTAATAATATTGTTACTGACATGATTTAATACTACAAATAAAGAAAACAAAATCAATGAACTTTATTAAACTCTCCAAATCACATCAAGGAAAGTATCAGGAACTCTCAAGGTTAAACAACAATAATATTCCTTTTATAATGTTTATGAAGGATCCTATGATATCTTGCCATAAGCCACTTACCTTCTTTTCAATCCATGTATAATATGACCTGATTACAGGCAAACTATTACAAACAAACAATGCAAAAGTTAAAAGGAAGTTCTCATATACACGCAATAGCACATTCAGAACTGGGATATGAAGAAATGTGCTAAAGTTCCATTTCTGAAAGGGAGAAGGAGGTTAAAGAATTAGCCAAATGTAATGGATAAGAACTTACTTTATCCCAAAGTCTATATTAAGAGGACTACTGAAATTAAAGTGAAAATATTAAATATCAAACCAAATCAACCAAGACAATTTTATATAATTTCCCTCCAAAATCGCATAGTATTTTGGCATTCCTACTTGCAATATTTGTGGTAATGGGTACACAAAAGGAACACTGATCATTCATAAAAACATTGTATACTTCATTGTTTTCTTTTCTTGAAAAATAACAAAGTACAGTACATTGTAAAGGCAGGTTGGTTTAAACACCATCCTCATAAAGTAACTCCTAGAATTAACCATACTAAAGAAGATCAGTGAGATGTGTGTATATATATATATATATATATATATATATATA